ATCTATATAATAGTAGGTATATGTATATAAACACACATGCACATTCGAATGCAACGTTGTGTCAAAATTTCAAAGCAATCGGTGAAGAACTTTCGGAGATTTAAGATTTTGATCAAACGAACATTTACATTTTTATTTATATAGATAAAATACCTGTGCCTGTGGCTTGGTGGTTAAATCACTGGCTAGTATGTAAACTGCCCAGGTTCGAATCCCATAAAGGGTGTGGCTAACTGATAAGAGCAGAATGAGCTCGAAATGGCCATATTAGTCTTCCAACTTAATTCTTTAACTCTTTGTCAAGAAAAAAAAAAAAGAAATCTGGATTTGTAAATGTTTCGCAGTAGCGACTTGAGCCTGCTTAATGCCCCTAGTTGGGGGGCTACAAGGCAAAAGAGATTGTAAAAAGTAGAACTGCAGTATAGCAGTTAAAATGCCAAGGTGTAATCAATCAGACCGGTCTGTCTGAAAAACTTTCTGTATATACTCCCTTGACTCAGCTGACAAAGAGGGGATCAGATTGCCAGCTTCTGTTCTACTTGAGATTATGTTCAAAATTAGGCATGAAGAGAAGGAATGGTTTTCTGATTTGACTTACTCTGGCCTTACGGAGAAGAAAGCATTGCAATACAACAATAGTAACATATGCTACTGGCTTGCAATAAATTACAAAACCAAAGCCATACCTGATAAATTGCAACTGACTGGCATATGTTATCTACGTTGAGTAAATAAAATCCATAGTCAAGTAGAGTGTCCGAATATTTAGGATGTTTGGCTCCAAAATGCTCCCTGAAAGATTAAAAACCAAAACACCCCAGGTTAAGAACATCACAAAATCTCTCAAAGGATTTTGACATGTTAAGAGCATTCCAAGAGAACTTTTACATACCGTGCTAGGTACACTGCGTGTTTTATCAACTGCTCGGCTTTCTTAAATTCACGTTTCACAACGCAAGCCTAAAACAGACGGAAGAAATTAAGACTCCACAGATATCCAAAGGACTCCACAGATATTCTTGTTGCCGTCCCCCTTGCCGAGAATGAACTCCTAAAACTCAACCTGCGATCTCAACTACTACAGTGTGTGTAGGATGTCAACGCTGCTAACATCAGATGTTTTCGCATTGACAACAGATGGAATTGACATAGCCATCTTTTCCCTTTTGCTTTTAGAGTTAGATGATGCTGGGAGGGGGGAAATGAACGGGATCCAGCTAGACATAACAACACTAAACTTAGTGTGAGAATTAAGGTTATTGTAACTGGAGCTGATAAGGAATTGGGGGCTGGAGAAATGGAAAGGAAGCCTGAGCTTCAAGTTAATTGGGGAATGTGATTTATGACAATTAGAGGAGGGAATTGTGCTTTGATACTATGTGCTGAGGGGAGGGGAATTCAGTTTTTGGCTTCGATTATGCAGTGCCGATGTTATGCTACTCAAAATAAAGATTCTTTAAGGAAAACAATGCCTCGAAGTTATTTTGAAGAGTTTCAACTGTCGGAACCATGACATAAGCAGAGGGCCAATGTTTAGGTACAGGTAGTCCTCGACTTACAACAGTTCATTTAGTGACCGTTCAAAGTTAAAGCGGCACTGGAAAAAGGGACTTATGACCGTTTTTCACACCTAGGAACATCCCCATGGTCTCATGGTCAAAATTCAGAGGCGTGGCCACGGACTCATATTTATGAAAGTCACAGTGTCCCGGGGTCACGTGATCCCTTTTGTGACCTTCTGTCAACCAAAGTCAATGGGAAAACCAGATTCACCTAACGACTGTGTTACTAACTTAACAACTGCAGCGATTCACTTAACATCTGTGGCAAGAAAGGTCGTAAAATGGGGCAAAACTCACTTAACAAATGTTTCCCGTAGCAACATAAAATTTTGGGCTCAATTGTGGTCGTAGGTCAAGGACTACCTGTATTCTTCCCTCTGCCTCTGGGAAGAGTTTTATGAATTTTGCAAATACTTATTTTTCTCTCGAGAAATCTGGTTCTCCTAGGCCAGGGGTAGGCAACCTTGGCTCTTTTATGACTCGTGGACTTCAACTCCCAGAATTCCTGAATACAGCTGTTGAAGTCCACGAGTCATAAAAGAGCCAAGGTTGAAGACTCCTGATATAAGTAATTGTTCAACTTACCTTTGAGGCTTGTCGTAAAACATCCACTACTACTTTTACAGGCAAGCCAACCGAGATCTCCTTCATTGCTTCTATACACCATTTGTAAGCCTATGGGGCACACAACAAAAGTTTGGAAAAGCATTTGTTACTAAGGCTACAGAGATTTAAAAGAAACACACGCCGGTCACATCCCACAATTTTACAACTGTCTTCCACTAACTGGCCCCTCTGGAGAAGCTGAATTTCAATCCCTACAACCTCCCAAATCAGCACCACCCAGGCTGCCTTGTTATCCAACACAAAGCCAAGAGAATTGTTCTGAATGCAGAAGCTGTTTTCAGGACTGCACTCATTTTATTCGCAGATTTGTTTTCAAGGTGACTCTTGCTGATGATTTGTGATGGGAGCCGTGCTTCTCCAGACAGCACAGAATCCTTTGTTGGGGGGAGGAGGAAGGACAACTTAAACTTGGGGGGTGTTACTGGGAAGAAGTGGAAGCTGCAGTCAATTGTGAGTTCTACTCCCACCTTAGGCATGAAAGCTGATGGCTTTGGGCCAATCACCAGGTGATGGTGAGTTCTAGTCCTGCCTTAGGCATAAAAGTTGGCTGGGTGATTTGGGGCCGATCACCAGATGACTGTAAATTCTAATCCCACCTTAGGCATGAAAGCTAGCTGAATGACTTTGGGCCAATCACCAGGATACTGTGAGTTCTAGTTCTGCCTTAGGCATGAAAGTTGGCTTGTGACTTTGGGCCAATCACCAGGATACTGTGAGTTCTAGTCCCATCTTAGGCATGAAAGCTGATGACTTTGCACCAATCACCAGGTGATTGTGAATTCTAGTCCTGCTTTAGGCATGAAAGTTGGCTGGTGACTTTGGGCCAATCACCAGGAGAGGACAAGTTCTACTCTCATATTAGGCAGGAAAGCCAGGTGGGTGGCTTTGGGCCGGTCACTCTCTCTCTCAGCCCAACCCACCTCACAGGGTTGTTTTGTGGGGAAATAGGAGAAGGATATATATTCGCCACCTTGAGTGACTTGTAAAATAATAAAGTTTGGATAGAAATCTAATAAACAAGCAAGCAAACAAATACTAATAAAGGAGAATATTTGTAGCTCAGGGTTGACACGAGGGGTCCTTGCTGATCTTTGAGCTTGGTGGCTTTCTTACAGACATTTCATGACCCAAACTAGGTAGCCTCATCAGTGCTAGTGATATTACCTAGACCAGGGCTTTTCAACCGGTGGTACGCGTATCACTTGTGGTACATTAACAAGTGGCAGGTGGTACGCAGCCCTGCCTAGCCAAGTGTAGTGGGGGAGGGAAAGAGCCAGCGCAGGCAAGGACTTACTGTGAGAGAGTCCTCTGGAGCTGCAGAGTGGCTGGGGCAAGGCAAAGGCCCCAGGCTCACTTCTGGCTCACCCTCCCCCATGAGAAAGGAGGAGGAGGGGAGCAGAGACAGGAGAGGCTATAAAACAAGGCACTTTGGGTGGGAGAGGGAGAGAGAAAAAAGCAGCAGCAGCCTTGGGAGGAGGTGGAGTCAGCTCTAGCTGCACCGAAGGGTTTTTGACACCTTGCTAGGTGGTACTCGAATATTGCCATATCCTAAAAGTGGTAAAATCGGTGAAAAGGTTGAAAAGCCCTGACCTAGACTCACCTCATCGTAATGACTCTTTGCAAAAAGCAGAGCACACAGCTCCCCGTAGAGTGCGGCTTTGTTGGCTTGCTGGCCGTGCTCTGCCAGTTTTTCCATGTAAGACTGTGCTAATTTGAAGGTTTCTTCTCCCAAGTGGTATTTACAGTTGCCATTCCGGACGTGCAGTAACCTAGGAAAGAGATCCAGGTACCAGTGTGATGACCCTCAAACTTGCCGAATGCTTCGCTTACAAGACTACAGGGAGTCCTCGGTTTACAACAATCAAGCCCAGCATTTCTACTGCTAAGCGAGGCAGCTGGGTTTTGCCCCATTTTACGACCGTTCTTGCTTGCCACGGTTAAGGAAATGACTGTGGCTGTTAAGTTACTAACAGTTATTAAGTGAATCTGGCGTCCCCCGTAAACTTTTCTTGTCAGGAGGCTGCAAAAGGTGATCACGTGACCCCAGGACGTTGCAACCGTCGTAAATATAAAACAATTGCCAAATATCTGAACTTAGATCATGTGACTGTGGGGATGCTGCAATGGTCGGTAAGTGTGAAAAACAGCCATAAGTCACTCTTTTCAGTGCTGAGCAAACGGCCACTGAGCAAATGGTTGTAAGCTGAGGAATACCTGTACTGAAATTGCACACTTATTAAGGAATCAGGAAAATTTATCACCCTTGCCTGAATAGAATAGAATAGAATAGAATAGAATCTTTATTGAGAACAGAATAGAAGAATTAGAATAGAACAGAATAATAGAATAGAATAGAAAAATTAGAATAAAATAGAAGAATTAGAATAGAAGAATAGAATTAGAATAGAATAGAATAATAGAATAATAGAATAGAAGAACTGGAATAGAACAGAATAATAGAATAGAATAATAGAACAGAATAATAGAAGAGTAGAATAAAATAAACTTTATTGTCACTTTGAATGTACACTAATCAGCTATACATTAAAATGAAATTTTATTGCATACAGCTCTCAAAGGGTCACCACCTCCAATATACACTACAATAGTAAGCAATTAAAAAATTATCAACCAATCCACAAGTATGCAAGACACAGAAAACTTCATCACCAATAGCTATAGCTCAGTTCTAGTAAACCAACGCTCAATCACGGCTTACCAGACTGAGGACATTTATTGCCTCTCCACATTTTTGTATGCAGCAATGCAAAACATAACAGAATGGGGCAAACTAGAGCAGTTCATTCCACCTGAAGAGGAAATCCTATCCTATCCTTTTAGAGACCGAGTGCGCAAATCACAACCCAAAACCCACTTATTTATCTCAAAGTGTCAGGGCTGCATCAACATTGTGGTGCCCTCAGGGGGGGGCATGGGGGCGTGGCCCACTGGGTGGGCATGGCTGCGGTTGTCATGGCAGACTGGGTGGGCGTGGCTGGGGTGGGCATGGCCACCTCGATGTTGCTTATGGGGGGGATGTCTGTGGGGGCCGGGCAGGGTTGGGGGAGATCCAGGGGGTCTCTGGCGGGTGGGGTGGTGGGCAGGAGGCCCAACATAGATGGGGGGAGGCACGCAATCGTAGTTGGGACTGGGGGGGGCATGGCAACGATGGGGATCCGGCTTTCCCTGCTCGGGGTGGCCTTTGGCTTGCTGGGTGTGGGCGTGCTCTACCACCTCTACTCGAGCTTGCTAGCTGCCTGCTGTACCTCCTTTGTGCCTGGTGGGGCTGCCGCTCCGTGTGGCAGCGGCCTAATGGACCTGCGCAAGCTGCTGGCAGCGGTGGTGCGCGTGCCCACAGAGAGGGCTCCGAGTGCCACCTCTGGCACGCGTGCCATAGGTTCGCCACCACTGGCCTATGGTTTAATGGTTAACTAGGAATCAAGACCCTGTATTAATTCTCGTTTGTCATCAGAAATTCTATTATAGTTTCTGGATTCCGATGAAATTACAACACCACTAAAGAAGGTAAGCTATTATGACCAGAGATTATGAAAAGAATTTTCAGTCTCTACCTAACAAGTGACTTTCCCGCTTTTTATATTTTTTTTTATTCTCCAGATATGAGAGTTCCCATGATCTTATAACTAGGAGGTTTTATTGTACTGAGTTATTATTATTATTATTATTATTATTATTATTTAAATTTATATACTGCCCTATCTCCCTTACGGGACTCAGGGCGGTGAACAGGCAATAATAAAAATCACAGTAAATATTACATAAAAGCCTGCTCTAAAATATAAAACCCCTTTTTGTGTCCAAACCAGGCCAACGTACCGCTAAATAAGAACTGGTATTTTAATATGATAAAGACAAGCACATACACTTCAGAGAAACCTTTTGAAGGAGTATGGCTGGTTTATTTCATTGTTCCGCTCTAAGCCCCTCAAGAATTGTTTGAAGGTGGGTGGCCTCTGAATTGTATTCCACAAAATCCATAAAGCTTAAAACTCCCAAATCCTTTTTTTCCCCCCCGCAAACGGAAAATAATGTGCTTTAGACAAACCAGCCTAATACAGAAAGCACTTAGTAATCACTGATGTCTTAAGCAACTTGATAGAAAGAGAGTGACTGTACAAACCACTCTATGGCCGTATTTCCACGTCTTTTGTGAAACTATACAGTGAGTCCTCGACTTATGTCTGGTCACATAGCGACCATTCAAAGTTTTGATGGACACCCCGCACAAAAAAAACTCCTTATGACCCAGTAACAAATGCCTTTTCTCGTGGTCACATGATCTCATTTTGGGTGCTCAGTAATGAGCCAGTAGTAGTAGTAGTAGTAGTAGTAGTAGTAGTAGTAGTAGTAGTAGTAGTAGTAGTAATGTTGGAAGGGACCTTGGAGGTCATCTAGTCCAACCCCCTGCTCAGGCAGGAAACCCTATACCCTATATATCTCTTTTTAAAAACTTCCAGTGTTGGAGCATTCACCGCTTCTGGAGGCAGCTTGTTCCACTGGTTAATTGTTCTCACTGTCAGGAAGTTTCTCCTTAGTTCTAGGTTGCTTCTCTCCTTGGTGAGTTTCCATCCGTTGCTTCTTGTCCTGCCTTTAGGCGCTTTGGAGAAGAGCTTGACTCCCTCTTCTTTGGGGCAGCCCCTGAGATACTGGAACACTGCTATCCTGTCCCCCCTCGTCCTTCTCTTCGTTAAACTAGACATACCCAATTCCAGCAACCGTTCCTTGTATGTTTTAGCCTCCAGTCCCCTGATCATCTCTGTTGCTCTGCACTCTTTCCAGAGTCTCAACATTTTTTTTACATCGTGGTGACCAACACTGGGTGCAGTATTCCAAGTGTGGCCTTACCAAGGCTGTCCGTAGTGCCCCGGTCACATGACGCGCAATTTATGACGTTTTTGTTGGAAACCAGCCTTTACTTCTGGTTCCTGGGGAAAACTGCCCCATAGCAACTAATGGGTTCATTTAACGACGGTCGCCTCTGCTTTAATGATCGCTGTGAAAAAGGTTCTAAAACTGAATCCAGTCACACGGTGACCTGTTTTACAACCATCCCAATTTACAACCATAATTGCTAGGTTCAATTCCGGTCCTAAGTCAAAAACCTTCTGTACAACCTACGACTACAACGGAGCCCAAAATTTATGATGCTAAGTGAGAAATTTGTTAAGTGAGTTTTGCCCCATTTTACAACTTTTCTTATCATATTTGTTAAGTGAATCGCTGTAGTTAGTCACACGGTTGTTAAGTGAATCTGGTTTCCCCATTGATTTTGCTTGTCAGATGGTCGCAAAAGGAGATCGCATATCCCCGGGACACTCGCAACCGTCATAAATAGGAACCAGTTGCCAAGCATCCAAGTGTACCATGGGGATGCTGCAACGATCGTTAAGTGTGAAAAACAGTCAAAAGTCACTTTTTTCAGTGCCGTTGTAACTTCAAACGGTCGTTAAATGAACTGTCGTAAGTCGAGGACTACCACTAATGTCTTTCTCTCCAGGCTTCTCTGAGCTTTCTTCATGTTAAAATAACCCTTCTTCACAGAGAGGAAGTATTAAATGTTGAAATAAGAGAAATTTTGGTTACTAAATTTAAGATATTGGGAAATTACCAGAAAATAAGAATGTTATATTGTGTTATTAATCAGTTGATGTAAGATGGTGAGAATTCAAATAAATAAGACGTGTATCCTGAACATTAGCTCTTGTGATGAATTGTGATAAAGGGAATTGGGGTTATTTAAAACTTGGAAATTATAAATATTAAACGATAAATATTAATGGGAAAATAAAAATTGGGAAACACCAACCAGGACATTGATTGTCTAAAAAGATTGAATGTTAAAACAACTAGGATATGTATAAACTAAAAATTATTGATAAATGTAAGAAAGTTACTTTTATTTAATCGATATAATGAGAATTGTATTAATTTAAATACGAGACAGCAAATACCAAGGGGAAAAGAGAGGGAATATTTAATGTAATAGTTTGAGATCTGTAGTAAAGATATTTGTATGTTACTGAATTATTGACCAACTCAGCCGGCACATTGGTTTTCAACGTGTAAAACTAGAAAATCAATAAAATTTTCTTTAAAAAAATAAAAATAAAATAATTCTTCTTCACAGGGACAAAATCACAGAGGCAGATAATTCTGTACGTTTTCTGTATTTTGCTTTTTTCCCCATTTGTATCTTTAATAGATTTGAACAGCCCCCAATTCTATTGTATTTCAAAGAGTCCCAAAGATGCAGTTCTTCACCAAGGCTGTTGCCAAAGATGACTGACTCCCCTTTTTTTCTCCCTTTTCCTTGTTTCCATCCAGGTTTGTATTCCCTGCTGTTTCTGTTCTCTGGTTTTGTGTTTTTTTGTGTGTGTGTGTTTATATTGTTCCTTGTTTTTAAATGTTTTTTTTAACAATTTGCAAACTGCCCAGAGTAACTGGGAATAGGGTGGCATATAAATGGCATACACATTTTTAATAATAATAATAATAATAATAATAATAATAATAATAATAATAATAATAACAACAACAACAACAACAACAACAACAACAACAACAACAACAACAACTGGAGCACCACTTGAACAGCATTGGCACTGACAAATTCGTCATTAGTCAATTGCAAAAGGCAGCCTTACTAGGAACCGCCTCCATCCTGCGACGATATCTGTAATACCATCAAACATCCACATCTGCCTATCCCAGGTCCTTGGGAAGGACTCGATAGGTAGACAAAATGCCA